GCAAACTTCAAGACATCTCTAAAAATTTCATTAATACACTTAAATTATTGTCTCCAATGAAGTTGGGAGGGGGGGTCTGTTTCCTTTTCGATTGGCGCCTCTGGTCGTTCACATCAGAATGATTCGTAATGGAGGAATTTGAGTGGAACGCTCGGCAGTTCTGTCGGGGAGCAGGTTGCGGGTTGCGGGTAGGGATTATCCTCATCCCAATCAGTATTCACGCGGTGGGGGCAAGGCAGCCGCAGCGGTAGATACTGATGTACATGCTGCCGTTCTTAGCAAAAAAGGCATATCTCCGACGGAATCCCCATGCACATATGTGCCCTTTTCGCCCGGCACGGCAGCGAGCCTGAGCTGGGGTATCATGTGATGGGGTGGCCGCGGTGCTATAACCCACTCGTATCTTGTATCTCTAAAGTGCCGCTACCGCGCTTACGGATCATCGACTGTCGCCGTATTTTCACATCTATTCTTCGTCTTTTCTTCCTCTTCTTCTATCAATTCACTTTCTTCTTCTTCCTCTTGGATCCTCGCGCCTGGCGCGCCGCGCTATTGGCGCTTCTGGCTCCGCGTAGGCGCCGCCACAGAGCAGCTCAGAGGCTAGCATGGATAGGTCACATTGTTACGACGTAAGGGCGTATCCTAATCTCCACGTGAGCTCTGTTTTCCGTAAAACGTTATGCCTTTCAAGGCTCATTAGGGACGCTCTTACGTCAGAGGAGTGACAATATGGGTGTCCCATGCCGTAATGTCCCGAGTATATCGCGCAGTTTCCTGCCTCCGCATCCGCATCTTCTCCTCATAACCAGTAGCGTGGCGTGAATTGCGATGTATCGATTGTTATGCCATTTAAACCTATGAAAAAAGATCGATTATCGGGGTGTTCGCAGCGAACACCTTAGTAATCGATTCTTTACCATGGTTTCAAATGGCGAGATATCGATAATTGATTATTCACGCCACGCCACTGCATAACTACTACTCCTCCTAATCCCACCCCGCACTAAAACTTAATTTAAAAAAGAGAACACTCTTTACGTACATTAACACGTTTAATTTTTTCTTTTTCAAGTTGTTAAGTCTCCAATTTTCAAGGATTTTTTTAATTATTATTTTTAACAGAGCCGCGTTAATGGCCTCATATGTTGAGACACCTTTAAAATAAACGCATCGTACTACTACCTACTCTCTTATAATCTGTTTTCTGCGTATTTTCCTTTCTCCCTCTCTCTTCTTCTTCTTCTTCTTTTCCTTGACTTTTAACTGTTAACTTTTTTCTTGAATTTGTTTAGTTTCAACGACCGCGATCCATATATTATATTCTTTTATTCTTTTTTTCCATGCTTGCTTTGCCTATTTTGCATTGGTATTCTAAATATTTCACGTAAATTCAATGAAAGTGTGCCTATTTACGGGAATGGAGACACAAATCCACAAAAACGCGAAATTCAATTAATGAACTTGGGTCTCAGCTTTTTTAGCGAACAAGAAGGTCATTTCTTACAGGAGTTATGGCGGTACTCTATTTGGCGGTTGAAAGTTTTCAGTTCAAAAAATGTTGTTTTGAGCAAGAGTTTTTTAAAATTCTTCCTGACCATACTCGGGGACGAAATTGCTGGATTGTGATGCAATATTTAAATTAAAGGGGATTCTACTCAATCTTCTACATACTCACTCTCATACCTCTGCACCATATGTGAAAATCTCAAAATCTGATTATTCGACTTGATCATTAAAATTCCTCTATTGGAAATCCTGTCTTCGTATAGTAAGTTTTCTTTTGTATTAAACGTTCACAAACATGCAATGACAAATAATAATCTCAGATTTTCCTCAATGTAGAAACTAGGTCGAGAGTTAATTCAGGCTGGATTTATTTCTTTTATCTAGCCGACTCAGGTTTGGAGTCACTGTAGGCAAGAAGATTTCTCTTTGAATAAAAAAAAATTAACGCAAGTTTCTGCTTGATAAAGGCATCTTCTCTTATTATTTTAAGGGAAAGCTCTACTTCACATCAAACTTAAGAATATATCTGTTCAAATTAAGTTCCTTCTTTTTTGCACCGAAGTTCCCGAATTGAAGCTAACGAGAGAAGAATAGTTGCAAATTCCATGATTGCCCCACTGAGCGCCGCCGCGCCGTCGTGGCTGGTGAGGCGGTTAGTGTCTGCAAAACGCCTTCACTCCCGTGGGTATGCAACACGGACATCCATAGAGCCCGAATAGTTGCATCCGGGTGGTATGATGGAATTCGTTTTATGTCCGTCGCGTGCGACACTCACCGGAGATTTCATTGTTTCTCTTACTTAATTACACATTAACTTAATTCCGGCGCTTTCTATTGTGCTGATAGAGAAAATTGTTACTTACTTTTCATCGCGAAATTGTCAACTCTCTGAGAAATGCATTACTTAAGTGTATTACGACGTTGCCGGCCCTCGAAATCCCAAACAAATTAGGTATCTAGGCATGATATGTACCTAGAGTTTCTTTTCACCCATACTTCAATGTGTCCAAGAGAAAAAGAAAAAAATCCCTCTTTATTTGTTATTTTTTCATTTTGGGAAACTAATTTTGACGTTTAAGTGCGACATTTTTTATGAACAATCCTGATGAATCGCGCGAAATTTGCGGAACAAAAACGACGACCATTTGTTTTTCGATAAAATGAGATGCATGTGACAGGAAATATCTGCAACAAGCCTTAAACTATGTACCTACCGCGGGAAACGCTCGATATCTACGTTATACTTCTGGCTTGGACTGTTGTCCTCGTCATCGAGGGGGGGGGGGGGGGCTTGTTGGGGATTACTTTTCCTCAAATACCAACAATTTCAAATAGGGACCCCTATCTACTTGTGACACATCAAATTATGGCGTGCCTATCAATCGTTTCTTTTAAGCCAGTTCCGGTTTATGATTTCCCAGGTGTAATATTGAAACTGACACAATTATAGCTGCGATACCTATATATCAGTGAAAATTATCATCATTAATATAAACTTCGAAGAATTCAGACTTTCAGCGAGTCTACCTTTTTCTATTTCACTCGAGAGGTTGCCAGATTGTGCGATAAATGTGAATATTTTACATGGATTTGAATTGAGAAAAGTGCTAAAAAAGCAACTTATCTGGCAACAATAGAGTCCAGGAGGGACGAGAGACTGCCTTCCTGGGAAAACCCATGATTTAGCCGGAAATGTCATTAAAACAACTGATTCCGTTTGAAGCATCAATTGTATACTAGGGGAAAGCTATTGTAAAATAATAATTGTAAATGGATACAGGCAGGGATTTAGAGCTGAGGTTTGAGGGAGCATCATAAACGGAGCCGCATCGGCGCGCGAGGCGGAGGCCCGGCGCGGACTTTCATGCCGCTTCTATCAGTGCGCCGAGGGAGCGCATATGCCGTTGAGGCGGCTTCACCTGGTGAAGCCGACTCCCGGCTCCTTTTCTGATGCTGCATCAGTTTTGATGCTGAGTCCAGCATCAAAATTAGCGGCTTCAATTAGCAGACGCGTCGGACGCCAGCGCCCCGGCGTCGGCCACCGCGCCAATGGGAAACGTAAACAAAGGGGTGTTCCGCGATTTCATCGCAGAGTCCGAGGGTCGCGGTCTTCTGGGACAGCCCCGTCGGTAATTAAGGTGGGTGGCGGGTCCGAAAATTGAGGCCGTATCGGGCCGCAAGCCGACGGTCCGGCCTCAGAGGCTGAGGCCCATGTTGGTCCCTGAGCCAGCATCAAACCTCAGCATCAGCGCTTGAGGCTGGCTCGGTCGGCTCTCCAGCATCGGGCTTCAATGCCCGAAGCCGGCGGCCGGCAGGTTGAGCGCATCAGGCTCGGAGCCGTATGCCCGAACGGCCGCTACCTGGGCATACGGCATTGATGCTGAAGCTACGAGTCGATGCTGTACAGCATAACCTCATGAGGCGCCTCAAATGCCTGGATACAGGTGCTACAGAAAGGGAAAAAGGAAAGGGAAAGGAAATGAAATGAGGATATGATTATACTAATATGTAGGTAATCAGAGAGAATAAAACAAAAACATCTGAGAAATTTATATGCGATGAAAGTATAAAAAAAACACAAGTGGGCTAATTGCGATTCGGAACTTAAACTTTACTATCGTTGAGCAGTTTTTGGACCCTTACGCCACCGATAATCTTCTTAAGCGGTCAAAATGAACTTTTGCTACTTTAGCAAGTCAAATCGCGGAAGGAGATCCATGGATTGTCTTTTTCCGCCACCCGATGGGATGACGTCCCAGTCAAATGCGTTTTTGAAGAAATGATCGATCCCCATCATCGCTTCATCTCCACACATCAATGCATGTGCAAATGATGGCACGCACCGGCAACAAGGTTCTGTGACGAAATCATTTTTGTCTCCAGAATCTCCAAAATGTATAAATCTTAGTGATTAAATGTACAATCACTGAGAAAAATGGCTCGCGGAGCGAGCCGAATGTCACTCGCGTAGCGAGTGATCGGGGGTCCAGGGGGTGCAGCCCCTTGGCTGGCCGTGACGGACGCGCAAAGCGCGTCCAGAGCGGCTAGTATTATATTCTGCTCTTTCCCCCCTAAAATATGGGGTGCTTCTGGTTGTATATTACTTTATACCTACTGGAAGAAAATCGTAGGTACTAAGTTTTCGTTGGTGAGTTCCTTGTGTCTTTTCACATGAATTTATACTCTTTTAAGGCAACATCTCTTACCTGAGACCTATCAGAGTATCTCGTACCGAGTCGGTAGGAAGAAGTAACCTTCAGTACTTTTACTTCGAGTCCCTGCTTTTACTTACCTACCTAGGTATCTGTGTATCTGTATAATAAAACTGCGAGGGAAAATATAATGGAGAGACTTGAACGATCGACCAAGAAAAACAACCACTCGCAGCAGCGCAGCACGCGGCTAATCGAAGAACTATTATGAGGAAGACGTCTTGCTTGCATCCATGATGCATCATGCTGACGTTGTTGATAAACAAACTCATGTCATCATCATTACATTTTTGCTTCAAGGTTATTCCCAGTTATTACGGCAGCAGTAGCACTTTGAATTCATTTTAATTACGAAAATTCGGTCTAATTGGTATTTAATTTATATTTTTGCCGTGCGGAACGTGCCTACCCTTATTATATGAGTGTTTTAAGACTGCTATTAGTTCGTGACTCAACTGTTTAATCCGAAGATCATCAGTGAAGTGATTATGAAAAGGAGGCGCTGTAAACAAACTTCTACGAATCGTACATTCACTCTTAAGTCCAAGGATTCTAGTCATCTAGCATCGCAACAATGTTACGACTCTTCAGTTGCTCCAGAGTTGAATCCGCAAGTTAATGTAGGTAGGATCACAGATTCTGCTCAGTCTAGTAACTCACCAGCCACCTGTTCAACTTGTCAGTCTCCCCATCTATCTGGTTTTTTTGTCTCCAGCTCTCCCCTTGAGACACTTTCATCGAAAGAATCATGTCATGTTCCTGAGTGCAGTCAAGTCCCACTCTCTCTTTCCTCGGAATCCTTCTCTGTACAGAATGGAATCAACAGACAGGATACTTACACGATTAACTATAATGGTGTTAAAACACGTACAAAAGAGAAAGAAGGTCCCGAATCAAAAGTTGCGCAGTTGGATAGTAAATGTGTGGCAAACTCAAGGAAGAGGAAATTCCCTCGTTCTTTATCTGATACCATCCTAACAATTAAGCATCAGTGCTGCGTACATGGTAATATCATTCCACTAGAGTTTTTACCTCGTCAAAAGCCTCTGATTGAGGGTAATTCAAATTTTAAAGTAGTCCAACATAATGAATCCGATAGGAATTCACTAGTTGACGAATCGCCTGAAGCAAATGAAAGACACTTTGAACGAAGTTCAGGTGCCAGTTCAAGCCAAGTTTCTGTTATCAAATCCTCATTGGTAGCTGAACCCACTTATAAACACAATACTAAGGCCATTTCTAGAGCGAGTAGCACATGCCGGAAAGTTTCTGTCAAGGTTACCAAACTTTCCTCTCGAGACATTTCTGCATATACCACCAGCCTATCAACGCATTCTAGTTCACCAGCAGTTTCACACAAGACTGAAGCAACTTCTCCAAAATCAAAGGTAAACTCTAATATATGCACTTCACTTTCAAATTCCTCAGCCTTAGATCCCTCTGGTAGTCATGACTGTAATAGAAATACTAGGTCAGACAAACTGTCTCCTTATCTTAGTGAGGACTCTCTTTTTCGCATTGCCAGCCAAGGCAAAGCGTGTAATCATTTCATTTTAAAGCTCAAAGAGAATAACAATGTCCAAACTAGCACTCAAAATTCTCCATGGAAGAAACTGCAAAGCTCTCAATCGTTTTGCCACTGCTCAGCAACGCCTTTCACTTCCACACTCAATTCAGTCAAAAAAAGTCTTCGTTCCTTCCACAGCAAATCATTGCATCAAGAATCTCATCATAATGGATTCATTTTAAGTGAAACTTCAACTGGTAAACTTCATCCTAATCTTCCTCCTACAGCCAATGTATCAAATGTTCTTAATCAAGCTTATCTCATTGATAGTCTTAAAGAGGTCAAAGATGCTTCAGGTTCTCGCTTTTGCGAATCAGTTCAAGAACTGAGAAAGCAAAGCCCAAGTAATTCTGATCATGTAGCAAGTCTCTGTTCAGACGAGGGTTCTAAATCAATGCATAAAACCTCAAGCAATATTCGTAATTCATCAACAAATAGCAGCAGCTGTATAATTGAAAGTTCTATGGTTCTTGGTGAAGCCATTCCCTTAAGAGGAATGAACCCAGCCCCCTCAAATATCCAAGATACCGAAAATTTATTGACTAAAAAAAGTGGACAGCAAAACAAGCCTCTAATTAATGTCGATGGAGAATTGAAGCTAGCATCAAACAAGCCAAGTATTTCCTCTCCTAAAACTATCTCCCCTCTAAGAAGAAAGGGCAATCTTTCAACTGAGCTTGGAAGTAAGAAGAAAATATCCAGGCGCAAAAAAAAGAAACTTTATTTAAGACAGAAAATTAGACATCGAAGGGAAATCAAGAAAAAAAAAGAATTTGAAAGACTGGCAACCATATCTTGTACAAGGAACTTAAGGAAGTCTTTCAGGCTTAAGGACTGCTCTGTTATTTTGGATGTTTCATCAACGAAAAACTGCCCTAATTTAACATCAACTTCAAAGGAAAATCTTTCTCCCAACAATATGACGTCCAGTCGTTCTCCTCCTCATCGTGCACCAACCCTATCTAAAGACCATTCAAAGGGGAAATCAATGCTTCTGCTACGGGACTTAAAATATTTTTGCGTTAATGTCCATCAAGTCGATGAAAATTTTTTAGATTTTCATGGCCTGTTACCAACTCTGTGTGTGAAACCGTGTGCCCCTCAGAAACGGAAAAGGGAATCAAATCTCCCTGATTGTTCTGATTTCATGGTTAATTGCAAACGACAAAAGATGGGGCCCTCATCTGAGTGTAAAAGAGATGATTCTCCAAATAAGCAGCTCATTACCACTTCATTGAAAGACTTTGAGAATTCAGTGCCTTCGGAGGGTTTTTTTCTCAGAACTACCACTCCCAACAATGCTAAAAAGAACTTATGCCTATCTGCTACAAAGAAGTTCCAGCGCACTGAGGCAACGACTCTACAAAGCAAAGAAGAAAGAGGGGTAAGTACTTGGAGAATGTCTCCTTTTTTATCATGCTATCTTGAGATTATGCTACTTTCCAGAAGAAGTTTTGCTGCAAAGAATAAGCTGCACAGTTTGCTCCAGCAGCATGACACAGTTAGTGAGCTCTCTGCAGCTAGCTGTCCAGGAGGGCCAATAAAACCTGGAAAAACTGTTAGTGAGCAAAGGAAATTATGGTGCCAAATGATTTTCGGGTGCTTGAGTAACTTTATTTTGGAGTTAACAATTGGGAAAATATGACACTGTGCAAAAATAAAAACTTACTTTTAAGGTTTACCTAAAATCCCGTCCATTTTCTTTCTAGGCGTCAACAAATACAAGTTCTCCTGTTGGTGGTGAAAATTCTATGCACACCTCCAGTAGTCCTGTTGTGAAGCAGGAAGTTGAAACGCAACTTACAGAAGATTCCTCATCAGGTATTAAGTCTCTTTTCTTACCTGCGTTAATCAGTGTTTTTTTTTTTAGGTATTATATGAACAGTTGAACATGCTAGATTTCAAGAGTGCTTTGCTCTTTACCCTAGTAGTATAGCTTAAATTTTGGAAATCAATCACAAACTGGTAAAATATGGCAACCTGCCATAGTAAAATCTGAATTTCAAGTTGTAAAATCCTTTGAGGTTTTTCCTGTAGGCGTCAATCAAGACAAGTTGCTGCATTGGTTGATGAAAATTCTGTGCTTACTTACCTATCAAATACTTAAGAGCCTAGCTTAAGGTTAGTACTTAACTTAATGAGATTTCAATTTTTATTTTTTTTTTCTTTATTTTTTTTTAAAATTATAATCAGACTGAGTTAACAAAACCGCACCAAGTCGCATCGAGTATGAACCCAGAAAAAAAAATTTGAAGTTTTATTCCTCCATGAGACTCGATGGCAAGTGCAAAATCTTTAAACAACTATTTTCTTGTTCAAGATGTTTTTCTTCAACTTACAATTCTTGACGGGAGAAAATATTTTCAAATTACCTTTAAATTCTTTTTACATTAAGTTCAAAAATGATTTATCTCTTTCAATCTTTCTCTTATGTAGTATTATAATTGTTCATGGTTTTTTTCTTCTCCAAGAAAGTAATTTTAAGAAGAAACAGATATTTTTATCTTTTTGTTTTCGATTTGAAAGCAGACATTTTTTGTTCAAGCCTGAACTATAGTTTGGCCTTGATCTTAATTGTGCATTGTATGATAAGGTTAATATTTCCATGTCTCATGGTGTATGTTTTATTTTTCAGATGAAAGGGAAAAATCATATTCCACAGAGACGATCGAGTGTGTTGAAGCTGGTTTAATGCATATATCTCCACCAATTTCAGGTAGATATCTCCTTTTTTTTCTAATGACAAGAATTTTAAATTATTACTGAGATCCCAGTTTGATATCAGTTTAAAGCATTTGGATGAAGTTTAACAGATACCCTGAAGTCGTTATTTGAGAAAAATTTAAGGAATTACTATGAATACAACCCTCCTTGTCAACACATATATCTAATTTTGTTTTTCTCTGGTCTTGTCCATTGATCATAATCAAAAGTCAAAATATTGCCAAGTTTCTATAAGCCATGGTTTTTTGCAAAATTTGGGGTTGAAGTTTAGATAATTTTCCTAATAAATGAAGCCAGCATGGCAATTTGAGTCAAAGAGATAACTCCTTCTCTTAGCACTCAAGAACTAATGGAGTGTAATTCACGAAAGAACCCAATACAGAACAAAGAAAGACAGGCTAGCGGGCATTCTTATTCACCTTTATGAAAATGGTAAAAAATACGAGAGTAGAAGAGAGATAGATAAGACAGTCGACACGCGCAGGGTTTTTCCATGAATGATACCCAGCCTGTTCTCAAATGTTGAGAGGAACAGGGATCTTTTTGAATCATTCTTGCCTGTTGGTTTCAGTTTACTGAGCAAATTATTGTAACTTCAACTGTTAATTATGCATAAAAGGTGGAGAAACCTGATGCAATAATTAATTTGAATTAAGATCAATAGACAAGTTCAATGCAATAAAAAATTGTAAATCGTTGTGGGCATTAATTTCCATAAGCAGTGCGCAGGGTCCTATGTAATTTTATACAAAGTACGAACTAGTGCACTGAACCTTTTCCAGGTTCTCCAATTCAACTTCAAGAATAAAAAGTTTGAGAGTACTTTGCTATCCAAGTCAAGTAAGTCCTTGATAAACTGTGAATCTAATTTTCTATTTCTTTTAATTGTTGTTTTTTTTCTCTCTTGTTTTGCAGAGAACCTAATAAGTGCTATCTGTGGACGTTGCAATAAATTGATCCCGTATGGAACAGCAGAAACGATGGTAGTGTCTGAAGAAACTATGTGGCCAAATAATAAAGTACCTCTCTGTGCCACCAAGAGTTGTAAGTCCATATTTTTATTTTCATCTTCATCTCACAAAATGTATGTACTTAAAATGTTTTAACCTCTTGGGAAAAAATTGCCAGGCACATAAATTTGACAATTTCACCGGTTAGAATAACTAATAGCTGTAAAACTTTAAAAAACAAGACAAATTAAGAGAAAGAGCGTAATTGAAGCGCGGCATGGGAGCAGCGCATTTCTCGGTTGCAGTGTCCAAATATTCCTGCTAATAATTTATTCAATGTAAAGAAAATGAGTGCATAGTTACATTTCTTTGAAATTTTTATTGAATATTTTTCATGATTCTACAATTGCTCATTAGATTTTTCTCCAAGATATAAATTAGCAACGGAGACTCTGAAAAATTGCGAAGAAGAAAGGCTCCTCTCACACCCAGCCCCTCAATTGTAATATGTAGAACTTTTTTACTTTAAACAATCATTTATGATCTCTATCCTGTTTTTTTGCAAGGGTATGTTTTGAAATTTGAAGACATCAGCCAGTCATGTGTAACATCTCATTGGTTCCATTTTTTTGGTCATGATTTTTATATTTTCCTTCACCCTCGGTATTTCCTCCTTTTTTTTCAAAAGGCGCTTAGTTTTGAAAATTCTTGCCTTCAAGGGTCCATCAGCAGTATAAAGGGCTCTGACTCTCAAAATCCGCAAAAATTGTTTTAGTAGTTCGTATAATTTCTAGCATTTTTCTTTGGCAAGATGAAGGAAACATGATCTTCTGTGAATTTTTGTTCAAGTAGGGTTTGCTTTCTCAAGTAAGTAGTTGCCTAATGGAATGATTTCACTTTTTTTTATTTCTGTTCTATCTGATGAAAATTGCTTTTTGTGCCAAATAGGTAACGGAAGACTACTTTACTGGGGCATTTTTAAAGCGCAGCTGATGTTGAAAACAATTAAAGGAGAGTACCTCATCGCTCAAATTAATGACCCAAATGCGGAGAAATTTTTTGGTATGACTTGCTGTTTAATTGAAATTTTTTTTACAGAAGTACATGTTCTGTAATAGGTTTTTTTCAATGTTTCAAAAATCGAATTAAACAGTGTGATTATATGCCAAGTCCAAAAGTAAATAAAAATTGTATTGGAAGTACAAAAGAACTGCATTGTGTTGAAGTGTAAGTAGGGAAAAACTTTTTAGTGTCAAGATGTAGTATCTAAAGACGTGGCATAATTGTTGGAAGAAGGCAAACGCACTCTTTGACTGAGTTTTGAGCAATTTAAAGTTGCATGTATGGTGTGTTTCCCTCTCATATGAGAATTTGATGGGTAGTATAGACATATTGGACCGCGTCAAGCAGAAAGGAACCAATCCACATCTGCTATTGCCAAATTTAATTAACCAATTTGTTTTTTGTAAGAGAACGTTTGTTTGGATTCCTTTGAAATTTTCGAAAAATTTGCTCTGTACTGGAAATAATTCACTGGAATTGGCACAGAAATCCGCACAAGAACCCTTTTCATGTAAAAAATTAATTTTCTCAATTAAATTTGGTGGTAGTTGATGTGGCTTGGTTCCTTTCTGCTTAACGCAGTCCAGTTATGAAAGAAATCAAAGCATAAGTTTCCACTACATTTATTTTTTCAATACAAAACAACAAAAATTTTACAAAATATTGAAACAAAAATGTACATTAGTTGTAAAATGGATTGAATTAGGCGAAACTATTAGTATCAAAGAAAAGAAATAATACTTCCTGCCTAAGATTTTACAACGTATACTATTAAATTAAAGGTAGTCATGATGAATCTGATCAGTAGTTCACTGCACCTGAATGTTTGACAGAGGAAGATAAGAAATGAATGAATGTCAAAGAATGGCAGAGGCCTGAAAAGGAGTAATGCGTTTTTCGGAGAAAGAAGGGCGTTCAACTTGTGTAACGGCCTTCAACTTCCTGTCCTCCCTCCATATCATTTTTATTGGCTCATGACGTGAGACAACTTCAGAGAGGTGGATATTGTATGTTGTTTTTTTTACCATTGTATCTATTAATGTCCTTCTCTTTTTCAGGCTGTTCTGCGGCGCAGTTTTTCGAAGATCCAGCTCATAAGAAGCGAATACAAAAACGAATCTCCGAATTGCTCTTGCTTAATAAAGGAGCTGAAGACATTATCATGAAAAAGTACACCCTGATTAAGATCAGAAACGGAAATGAATTGAGGATTCGTATCCTGCACACCAGTTTATTTGAACCGTAAAAATCATCACCTTCGTTTAAGATTAAGGCTGCTGGGGAATCAAGTAGTTGGAAGTTGATCAACTTTTTTGTTACCATTTAAATTTGTGTTTGATATTGTTTTTTGTTATTTTTTTGGTGTTGATGGTTCAAAATCTGAGCTAATCGCTACCAAATCAGCAGTAGTAGGTTGAATAACTCAATAATGTTTAGTTTTGCTTTTCTTGCTGTTGAAAGTCCTAAAATCTGCATTTGAAGCCTTTTATGTAATACTGATGGATAGTGCATTTGAAATCCATTATTTTTACTTAAATGGATTCATTTATGTTGTTCCCTTAGTTTTTTATGAAACAAAAATGCAAGTCAAAAATTAATGTTTAAAGGTAATCACTTAAATGGATTGAATCTAGTAGGAAGGAACCAACGCAGTCACAATATTGTTAAAATTGTGCAAATTTATTTTCCTCTCAAAAAGACCCAAAAGCTCTAATCCTTTCGGTTTTCTGCCAAAAAATTGTCAATTTTAAAAGAATACAACCCTGAAAATATCGCCCAAAGAACATGCACTCGACTTTCTGAAAGTGTTGAAAATTTGTCTCGATTTTTACAACACTCTATATGTGTTGGTTCTTTTCCTCTAAAGTCGGTCCAAATCAAGTGTCCCATGTCATACATTTTTGCAGCTTCTGTGATATCAATATGAACTAGTGATTTTAATTTTTAAGAAACTGAGACTTATTTTTTATTGTTAAATGTTCTATTATTATTTTTTTGCCAAATACTGAATGTTCTTGTTACAAATGTAATGAGGAAAAACAATTTCTCATGCGAAAGACTCCCAAAAATTGTAAACACCCAAAAACACCTATTCAATCCTTGTTGACAGCAGTTGTATGTAAGCAAGTAGGTAGAAAAATAGCTGTAAATGAAGACAAGGCAATTGCATTATTTGTCATTTCAGTACAGGCTTGCCACTGGCAGCTATGAGGTCAGTTAAGAAAATATGCTTCGAAAATTCTATGAAAAGAGGGAGTACGAGTGAGGGGTGTGTTTTGTTACTGGGCATGAAAGAATATGGACCTAAATCGCAGAAACGCGCGTGTGAGGGGGGGGGGGTCGAAAGATTGGAAATTTAGCTTTACGTATTTTATGAATGGCCTCTTATATGTAGGTATTTACTTACCTACAGTTGTGTAACTTAGAAAGCTGAATGTTCATGTATTACAAGTTTGTCTTTTTCCCTTAGTTCCATTTTTTGTCAGTCATGCCTAACTCATACCACAGTGTGCCTTATCGTCATAAGAAAGAAAAGCACCTGAATTCCCCCAAGGGTAGAATTAATAGGAAATGGCTGCCTTCACAATGGGAATGGATTTTGCAGTTACGAACTAAATCTTTTGGCTCTGATAAAAACAACATATTTTCCATTAGTTTCCCTACAGACATACGTGATTTTACGGATGAGCCAGAAATTTTAGTTCTTAATTGCAAAATGTAGTCCAATTAACTGTCATGTAGACCGATTAAAACGGAATCAGCCTAACTACCAGTAGGGTTTTTGCAAGTCAGCAATACTGTTGTTTTTTCCTCCCTTTAAATCTATTAAAAGTATAGATTTCAGGAGAGACCTCACCAAGAATCGGTCGCTTCACTTATTTTTAAATAGAGGAAAAACAGTCTTGCCAACTTTCAAGAATCGCATTGTTGTCTTATTTCCTTTGATGTTCCATCATTTAAACAGAAAATTATGCAACACAAATATTTGAAATTTTGTGAGAATACTCTTCATAATCTGGGATGAATATTCAGAAAGTTGAATGGTGTTAATTAGATTCCTTTTCAGTTAAAAAAGGAATACATGAGAGTACCTATTAGGACAATGTAAAATGTAGTTAGATTGATTATGGTTAAATCCTGCAGTATGGAACTTGATATTGTGCCTTAAATAGAAAGCATACCTGAACTGTTTTTTCTAAATCTTCTTAGTTTTTAAAATCGTGGGTTTGCTTACTTCTAGACTAGGTACACCTGTATGATTTGAAAACTTCAAAGATTTTCATCCCCAACCAAACATTTCATTTCTATCATTCATGTGATTCAGGTTTTTTTTTGTAAATCTTTGCATGGACTATCGAAATTCTTAGGAAGACCAGACATTTTTTTTTTTAATTTCACTCAATTATATGCAATATATTTTTAAGCATGATTTACCCAGGCTATACAATGCTTTTTATTGAAAAGTTCAGTCAATCATTGTGGAATTGGATTGGATTTGTGTCATTCATCACTGTCTGGAACAAAAGAAAGAGAATAAAAGAAAAGGTCATTTTCATATTGTTAAAGATAAGCCAAGAAGTTTTTTTTTCTTTTTATTTTTTTTAAAAATAGATGCGCGCATATTACAAGAGTGAATATGAACAATTTTCAAATTTAAATATACCAGGGAAATTTCAGTTGACTGTCTAATCAATGAATACCACTTTTCCATGAGTTTTGTACTTTTTCATCAATCATATTATCCTCAAAGATCTTTTATTTTAATGTTAATGGTAAATTTTTCTTTGTAAGTCTACTACCTGATAGTGGATCTGGTGTTTTGGTTACTTTTGGTTTTAACAATTGATAGAGTTCTACAGTTCGGAACTATTCATTGTCATTAAAACACCCTTAACAATAAGAAATGACATCTCCAAAACCTTAATGAGAGGTAAAATTGGATGAAAAATCATGTAATGTATTTTCATGTCAGGTTTTTTTTAAAAAAGAAAAATTTCATCGAGTCCTTTGTAATGAAAGGAACAGTAAATTTTTCCTAAACATTCTGTGTGAATTTAGTTCAGTAGGAGGTAGAAGAATCATTGATATTCAGTTATTTTGTTTTTTTCTCTTCTCTGAGAAGATCATTTCTCAGGTTTTTTCACTCTTCTCTTCAGATCTTCAGATACTGTTAACTTGTCAGTGGAATACGGGTGAAATGGAAACTCGTGGGAAGGCGACTCTCCAAGAAATAATTTGTCTTGAGCTTCGTTTAGGCTTTGCAATATTATCAAATATTTATTCATCTTTTAATTGAAGGAGTATATTCAATTTGCATTCTTAACTATCATGTTGGTACTGCTGAGTGTATTTCCTTGTCATGCTGACTGAACACTAGGTAACTAGCAGTTTTTATGGCCTTCTATTTAAGGTCAAAATTGAATTTTCAAGACAATACCTATCGTCAGTTTTCTTGAGTTATTGTTGAATCTAAAATAAAGATGTTTTCAAGGTCATTGCTCGAAAACATAGGTAACTCTATTGCTGGACCCTTTGCCTGCTAGCTGAAGGTTACCATTCAATATCATAGTGCAGAATTGCTGTCTGAAGTCGAAGTAGACTTTTCAAAGCAATGTTCCAGCTGTCTTAATGAAACAACAATGAGTCATCTCTCATTGAATACTTTTGTCTGAAGTATCCAATAAGGGGTAAAAATGTTTTATTCCCATGAATGATTTTTGCCTTGTAATTTGTGAAAAATTCGTTTGAATCATCAGTGTCCATTCCAATGGATTCTATTAAGAAAACTCCATAAGTAAGGATGTGATTTTTTTTTTTTTTTTTTCCTTTTTCTCTTTTTTCCCAGCTTTATCCCTCAAAATAATTATAGTTTTCGAAAGTATCATAAATAAAGCTATATCTTCTCTCTACTTTAATTATTCTACAAGAATTAATGCTATTTGAATGCTCGTTTACCCAAATGTGTTCAGAATGGTTCATGAACCCATCTTTTGTGAAATTTCAACTGATCCTGAATCAGTGGTGCTGGCACCTACCAGTGTGACAATTTTCTAAGATTTATTTTTCTTATGTATTTTCTTTTTTGTGCTAAGACTTAAATGAGCCTCTCATAAGCCTCTCATTGTTTAGCTTCAAGGTCTCTGATCTCGTTTGTTTTAAAAGTGTAGATATTTTATGTTTTTTCATTGATGTCTTCCCTCTCATTGTTCTCTCTAGACATTCTCTCTTTCCTTTCCGACCAGGTTAAGGGTCCAATTTTTTGTTTTTTATCTCCTTACTTTGAAACGAAATTTTCAGGTCTAGGATAATATTCCAGACACAAACTAGTTAAGGAAAAATGCAAGGGAGGTTTTTTTTTTGTTTTTTTCAATTGAAATGTACTTAAACTTTCCAAAAACCTCAGCCTAGAATGAGTAAGCTCTATCTTAAATAATTTCTTTGCTTTTGAATTGTTTCTTATCGTGTTACCTACCCATATTTTGAATGCAAATCTATTCCTCTGAAATTGTGGCAAAACGTATTATTTCATCAATAAATTTGAAAAATTCTGACTTCAGCTGATCTCCATTTTTTTCAATGTTTCCGTTAATCTGGCAAATTTTTCCGAGGATGTTTGCTGAAATGGAAAACGAAGAGTAAATTATTCATGCACGCAGTTCACTTAGGTACTAATTTTAGTAAAAAAAACGGATGAGATCCAGTAATAAAGGAACCGTCTCTCCATTTGTATTTGTTTTGCCACCCACCATCAATGAATGTCTGAGTGAAATCTGTCAACTCTAGAATTTTTTTGATTTTATTATAAAAATTATGTACCCACTTATTGTCAGCCCAACTCAATGGTAATGAGACTCAGTATCATGATGCAAGCTACTAGTTTAGGGGAAAGTCTGAATAGTACAGTAGTAGGTACACCTCATCAGCATAAGCGGATCCATGGTGGCAAAGCGCCCNNNNCCACCCCAATTCGTCCGGAATAAGGAGGACGGAAAAAATTATTTAAATGCATTTTGGAAGCTTCACATTTTTGAAAATATTCAAGGGGAAGCCTTTACATTTGAACAAGAGGATGCCGGGGGACTTATGTCTCATCGTTGCCGATTTTTGGGATTTTTCTTTTGGAATTGATTTA